TCGCAGCAGCTGGAGGGATGTGGGCAGCCAAGGGGCAGGACCCCAGGACGCAATCAGTGGAGGGTCTTGGGGAAGCCTGAAACCCTCCTTCAAACCTACAGCCAGGCCCGAACAGACAGCAAGTGGCAAGGGAAACTGAGGCTCAGCTGAGCCCCAGGACAGATGCCAGTCAGGTGGCTCAGCGCACGGCTGCAAGGTGCTTGGCTCCCCCAGCAAGGAGGTACCACCGCTCACTTACACCCCCTAGCATGAGGGGCATCGCGACCCGTCCCCTCTAGTTAAGCTGTGACTGTAGTCCCAGTAGGCACATGTCCATGAGGGTGTAACTTAGCTAGCCCGGGAGCAGGAGCAGCAGCAGAGATGGCTTTGGCGTCCACGTACAAACCCAGCTACGGCCTCGGGTTGCCAGCCCACAGGTCTGCACTCCTATTGCTACCTGTGCTAGCCAGGCTACAGGCGGGTTAGCTGGGCCCTGGCTCTCAGCCAGGCTCCGCAACACCCATGCGGGGTCCAGTGGCTTGCAGGGGGTGCAGCTTGCACCCCCACACTCCTTTCAGAGGGCCCCCAGGCTGTCTGGGTTGCAGGCAGGGGATGAGCCAGGATCTCCCCTGTCCGGAATGGGGGGGCTGCATTGACTCCCCAAAGAGACGGCAGCTCCCCCAAACGATGCCACCGTTCTGTCAGAGCAAAGCCAAAGGAAAGGCAGCAATCTGGGGAGCAGGGAGACATCCCAAGCCTCAGGCACCACTCGGCTTCCCAGTCCGCCACCGAGTGGAACGGGCAGGGGGGGCCGAGGCAGAGGCTCCTGTTCACCAAATACCTGGGTCGTCCCCCCGTGCTGCGTATGAGCCGCAAAGTACTTAGCCGTGCTCCACTCCAAGCGCAACCGAAGTCAGCGGGATCTACGCACGTGTCCTGCAGGACTTTGCAAATTCAGGCCTGGTGCCCCCTGCGTATTGCTCCCCCCGCAAAGACAGGCCGGGATCCCGCCAGGGCCAACCCTCCTGCCCTGCCAGGCTATGGTGGATCTTTCCAGAGGCCTGGACCAATGCCCCCTCTAATTTTTTCCACCCATGTGCAGAATGAATTTTGTTCTGCACACTGAGGCATGTGTGGATGTGCACCACCAGTGGAAACAAAATACCTAGCTGGGGGCACTCTTCGAATCCCCTGGGCAGCATTTGATTCTCTCCTGGGTGGCCACCCAAGCGCTCGGCTTACAGGGCACACTGGCTTGGAGCCCTGGGCCTGGAGAGGGTTAATTCAGGTTTGGAGACCCACAGCTGCAGGGCCCACTGCTGGCAGCTGGCCATGATCTGGGGGTTTCACCGGAGGGGGGTTGGAGATCAGCTCCTCTCACTCCCAAAGCACGGTCCCCCTTCCTGGCAGCGGAGCTACAGAAGACCCCCCATTACAGTTAGCAAGCGGGGCCCGTGCCCTGGCTCAGCAGGCTTGCCTGGAGAACCGCTCACCGGCGAGTGTTGCTGTTAACGCCGAGGGGAGCTCAGAGGAAGGAGGCTCTGGAGATGTGGCCGGGATGCAAGTGGTCAGAGTTAATTAGCTAAATAGAAGGGCCCCGCGGTGGCCTCCGTGGCAGGGTACTCCTGGTTGGCACAGGGCCGTGGCAGCAGGTCTTCCACCATGCACATCCCCACTCGCACGGCCTGGCCCAGCCTTTTCCAGAGGCTCAGCACAGAGCAAGCCCGGCTAAAGGGAATGCCAAGGGTCCCTGCTCACAGGCCGCAGCTCAGGATCAGGCCCCACAGCTCCATGGGCCTGTTACGTCTTCGCCTCTAAGTGGACGGGGACAGGATGGGGCTGCTTTTCATGGCACAGGACTGAGACCCCCCCAAACTCATTCCACCAGTGGCCCACGCAAGCGGGAATGACTGGCTGCCACGGGGCCCCATGAAGCAAAAGGCTCGTTAGCACCTCACCACGCCACACAGGCCCCCCGCCCACACGAGCGATGACACACACAACACAACACACAACACACACCTGTTACGGCCGAGCTCCCCTACACGTAGCACCCCCGACGAATCGCTCGCCAGCAACATCCCCTGGCGGCCACTCTGCTTGCCGTGGGATCCCGTGCGCCCGGGGAAAGCGGAGCCCACGAGAATAATGATGCCACTGAACGTGGGTCATTCATCCCGCAAACTGAAGCCGGCTCCCTGGAGTGTCTCGCTGCTGAAAAGAAGCCCCTGCTGGCACCCAGACGACCTGCCTCGCCAGGCACCGCGCTCCCTTGCAGCGCGAGATCTAGCTGTCTGGCAGCGTGGGGTGCATAAGGAACAGTTAACCTGCCCATGTGATGGCCGTGGGTGGTGCCCAGCGTGGCCCCGCCCATGCTCCGCCCCAGGCCACACCCCCGCCTGCTATTCTCAGCACTCCTCCTGCCCCCTGGTGTTAGGGCCATGCCACCAATCGCACCAGGGCTGGCCACGTGCCCGGAGCACCACTTGACCACCCACAGCACCAAGGCCCAAAGCGCTGCTGCCCGGAGCTGCTGGCCACGATACGCGCTCTGGAGTCCTGGGGACAGGGCTGATGTGGAGGAGCAGGCCTTTGGGAACAAGGGGAGGGGCTGGGGGCTAGCCTACCCCAACGCCCCCCCACGGCTAAAGTGAATGGGGAGAGGAGGGGCTCCCAGAGCTCAGATACACATAAGAACAGAAGAATGGCCACACTGGGTCAGACCAAAGGTCCACCCAGCCCAGTACTATCTACCGACAGTGGCCAATGGCAGGGGGGAAGAATGGCCACACTGGGTCAGACCAAAGGTCCACCCAGCCCAGTACTATCTACCGACAGTGGCCAATGCCAGGTGCCCCAGAGGGAGTGAACCGAACAGGCAATGATCAAGCCTCTCTCTCCTGCCATCCATCTCCACCCTCTGTCAAACAGAGGCTGGGGACCCCATTCCTTACCCAGCCTGGCTAATAGCCATTGATGGTCTTAACCTCCATGAATTTACCTAGTTCTCTTTTAAACCCTGTTATAGTCCTCGCCTTCACAACCTCCTCAGGCAAGGAGTTCCACAGATTAACTATGCGCTGTGTGAAGAATTACTTCCTTTTATTTGTTTTAAACCTGCTGCCCATTAGTTTCATTTGGTGTCCTCTAGTTCTTCTGTTATGGGAACTAATAAATAACTTTTCTTTATCCGCCCTCTCCACACCACTCATGATTTTATAGACCTCTATCCTATCCCCCCTCAGTCTCCTCTTTTCCAAGCAGAAAAGTCCCAGTCTCTTTAATCTCTCCTCATATGGGACCCGTTCCAAACCCCTCATCATTTTTGTTGCCTTTCTCTGAACCTTCCCAGAGGATCTGGCTGCTTCTCCCTGCTTCTGAAAAGCCCTAACTCCCAGGCCTGCCCCCCCCCGCCTTTCCCAGCCAGCAGCTGCTCTCCCCGTCCCTGCGCGTTCACCCTGGCCCTCCGGCAGCTGGGCTGGCTCCTCCTAATTAAGCCCAGATCATAATCAGCCGCTGGTTGAGGGCGAGGCCCCAGCCCCGCTCCCCTTAAAGGACCAGCCCGCACCAGGGCAGTGGCGCAAGGCGATATGGCTCCAGGGTCCTGGCCGTGCTGCAGGTGGGTTGCCGTGTTCCCAGCATTGTTGCTCTGGATCGCTGCCTTAGCGGATCGTGCTACGCTCACACCCTGGGCTGTTCAATGGGATGGGCGCAGAGGGAGCAGGACCAAACCCGGGTGGCAGGTAGGGGGCGCCCTGCTGCTCACCGTGTGGCCGGCCTGCTCCAAGTGCTGCTTGTGGTGCAGTGGGGGTGGGGTGACCACCCAGCTGCGGGGGTGGCACAAACTTGAGCCCTTGTCAGTATGGGTCTCCCAGGGTGACCTCACACTCTCCCCTTCCCGTTGAATAGGAACCCCTCGCCTGCTGCCGGAGGTACCCTCGTGCGAGGCACTATTCCACGGCAGCTCGCACGGAATAAATTGCCTAGGGAGGCTGTGGAATCTCCATCCCTGGAGATATTTAAGAGCAGGTTAGATAGACATCTATCAGGGATAATCTAGACGGTGCTTGGTCCTGCTGTGAGGGCAGGGGACAGGACTTGATGACCTCTCGAGGTCCCTTCCTGTTCTAGTGTTCTATGATTCTATGCAGCTGTATCTGGGGTGGGGGACGAGAGCCGCACAGCCACATATAACAATGCACAGCAACTGAAGTTCCTGGCTTCCAGCTGACAATGTTGGGGGAAGGGCTAAAACAGGCAGCCACGCCGGGAGAGTAGCGGATAATAGCCTGTTACTCTACTGCACAAAGAACCATGGGATCCGTCTGTGAAAATCCCCTTCCCCCCCTCCCCACACACTCACTTTATGAAATTGACTTATGCATAACATGAAGATGCTTTGGACAAAATGCCTCCCGAAACCGATCAACGTTAATGTCACCATCTGCGGGGGCTGTGTCTCTTATTTTGGTGTGTGGCTCGTTCTCGTATGCTGAGTTAGAAATCTGGGGGAGGGATGTTTTAGGGTTTTTAAGGATGGCAAAGGGAAGCCATCAACGGTGTGTTTCTCTCAACAGCTGGGGGATCGCCGGTGAACAGCCTCCTTTGTCCTTTGAGTCCAAGCATTGGTGGTCTTAGGAATTACTTCTAATCACTTTTATTGACTATCAAGCCCAGTGTAAATAATTGTAAGCTGGGGAAGCAGTCGGTGCACACACCCTCCTTTCACTGGTCAAGGGGAGTCCCTGAATGACTCATTTGGGGGTTGGTTACCTGCATGCCTGGCCTAAAACTGCATTCTCCTCAGATCTGAGGCGATTCAGTGTCTGCATTGCTCTTGGGAGGGGGGCGGTGAGCTCAGCTCTGTGCCTTGGCTGGGGGAGACCAGATCTGGCCCAACAGGACAGCGTGGTGAGACGTCCCAGAGAACAAAAAGGTGAGTTTTAGCGGCTTTAGCACAGTGGGTTCCAACCTTTCTAAGCACGAGATTGCTTTTTGAATTGAAGTGCAATCCAGGATCCACCTCAAACCCAAGCACCCTTTGCCCCGCCTCCTTCCCAGTCCTTCTCCAAGGTCCCCGCCCCCCACTCACTCCATCCTCCCTCCCTCCCCCATCCTCACTCACTTTTATCAGGCTGCAGGCAGAGGGCTAGGGGGTAAGGGGATGTGGTCTCTCATCTTGGGCTAAAGGATCTGGAGTGTGGGAGGGGTTCTGAGCTCCCTTGGGCAGGAAGTTGAGGTGCAGGAGGGGGGCAGAGGGACTCAGGGCTAGGGCAGAGG